AATTATAATATAACATAGTCTGACTTAACTTATTTTTATCTTTAATCGTAAACATAATTATAAAAGTTTGTAAAAAATAATTATGATATATATTTATACTTTTAAAAGTTATATGTAAAATTTTTAACATTATAAATATATAAATAATTATTGCCCCCACTATCTAAAATTTCTGGATCCGTCACTAGTATATATATATAATTAAATCTGTCATTTTATATTTATCAACTAATTTAATTGAATAGTTTTGATTTAATTAACCAGGTTTTACGAGTTTTCAGCTTTGTAACTTTAATAACAATTTAAAAAAATAATTTACATTGAGTATGTTTAATTAAACTCTTATTATTTTTCAGAAAACAATTATGGAAGTGAGATGTGTTTCCAGTCAAACTACCTGTTTTATTTGAAGTAAAACGTGTTTCTTTACGTAATTGACCTTACACAATTGATGATGTTCACCATCAGGTCATTGTGTCTGGGGCACACAACAAAGAGATCCTTCCTAATTAGTAAAAACAGCAAGAGATCATGATGATAAGCCACTTTATTTTATTCGTTTTACATTTTTCTTCCCAAGTAGAAAATTTTAACTTACTTTTTTTTTTTCTAACTTAAATTAATTATTTTTTATATAAAACCTAATTTATAGTGTTTCGTGTATTAACTTTTTATACTTAAATATTTTTATTAAAATATTTTTCTTAATTTAATAAAATATATTAATTATAAAATTTTAAAAAAATCTCCACTTTAATTATTTAGAAGAGAAAAATAATATAGAACATATAATTTAATTGATTAAAAAAAGGATGAGTATTAATTTAAAAAAAATAGTTTAAAAAATAAATAAAAATAAAATAAATTTATTATTATCAATTAAATTAATTATTTTAAATTTTAATAAATAAAATATTGGAGTGTTATAGAAAGTAACCGTATATGAAAAACCGGAATGTGGTTAAGATTGTTGTCTTGTATTCATTGAGGTGATCATAAATTCCCGACCCGGACAATTTTAGGGGTCTACAACCCATCAACTCCTTTGCCCACTATCATAAGGGCACCACCTACCAGCAATCCTCGTCTTCATCAGACGTCCTCCCAAAGAAAAAGGGGAAATCACATCATCATCATCAACAGGTAGCCTGAAGAGGCCAGGCATAATAATACTCAACATTTACTCCTTTGCCCACCATCACAAGGGCACCACCTACCAGCAATCATCGTCCTCATTAGACGTCCTCCCAAAGAAAAGGGGAATCACACATCATCATCAGCAGGCAGCCTGGAGAAGCCAGGCATAATAATACTCATCATTTACTCCTTTTCCCACCATCACAAGGGCACCACCTACCAACAATCCTCGTCTTCATCAGACGTCCTCCCATAGAAAAGGGGTAATCACATCATCAGCATCAGCAGGCAGCCTGGAGAGGCCAGGCATAATAATACTCAGCATTCAGCAGGCAGCCTGGAGGGGCGCGAGCTTGTAGAAGGAGGGAGCGCCAAAAAGCCTCCTAAACTTCATTGATATATAAAAAGCACGCTTCAAGAGGTTTCTTCTCTAAAAATCCCTTCTTTTACCGCTTTCTGATTGTTGCATATTGAAATTCGTCATCATGTAGATATTTAATATATAATCGCTTATAATAAATAGGGGTAATTTAGTAATTTTAC